CAGACCTTGCCCCTTCCGACTACCATTTGTTTCGATCGATGCAGAACGCTTTGACTGGAATACACTTCACTTCAGAACAGGGTATCAAAAATTGGCTCGATTCATTCTTGGCTTCAAAAGATGAACGCTTCTTCCGCGACGGAATCCATAAATTGCCAGAAAGATGGGAAAAAGTAGTGGCTAGCGATGGACAATACTTTCAATAATGTATTAATTCATTTTATCATTCAAATAAATGCGTTTTTCAAGCAAAAAAACGGACCGAATTAAGTTGTACACCCAATAGTTTAGGAAAAAGTAGAAAACTGTTAGAACTGTTCGAACCTCATTTTTTGTCATGCATAGCATTGATTATATAGCGTGTGTTTGAAAATGTTCCGCGATAAGGAAATTTCTAGAACTTTTAAGCGGGATCTACAATAGAAATTGTAGAGTCGTAAGTCATAGGAATTGATCAATCGCGGTCGATTATTTTTCTCATACTCGATCGCGATTGGTCAATTTCTACGACTTTACGACTTCTATTGTAAACCTCGTTTTAATCCTCGACTGAGACATAAATCAAAGAAACGACAATACCAAGAGAATCGATTCCTTTCTAAAAAAAAAGGCATGTAAGAGATTTGATTGTTCCCGCTTTTCCGCGATGCTGATTGGTTTACTCGCTTAGCTCACTTCATGTGGGCTGCGGCTTGTTTTGTGTCGTTTGCGCCTGTCAAATTACGAGGCAAATAGCTGTCATCGCGTTGGTTAGATCACGAAAAAAAAATACAGAAGAGATATGTCTCTCCTTGCCTCTCCCTGTCTCTCCCTGCCTCTCCCTGCCTCTCCTTGTCTCTCCCTCCCTCTTCTGTCTACCTGTGTCTCTCTGTCTCTCTCTGTCTCTTCCCGTCTTTCCCTGTCTCTTCCCGTCTCTCCCTGTCTCTCCCCGTTTCTTCTCGTCTCTCCCTGTCTCTCTCTGTAATATAATTATTAATTAATTAAAGTATATTTTAATTTAATTTAATTTTTATTTAATTTTTATTTTACATTTTTTATTATTTTTTTATCAGCTATGTGGTGCGCGCACATGTATTATTCTAGTCTAAAGAAAAAATGAAACAGACAGTACATTGTCAAAAAAAAACTGAAAGCATCTGGTGATAGTAACGTGTAATGCGTTATTGCATTATATTAGTTTATCGATTTTTTTTTTCTAAATTAACTGAAATACTAAAGTGCTAAACTAAAATACTAAATTTGTAAAAAAGAAATTCGTTTTAGTAAGACTGGAGAAATAATTTTAGGATTAGTCATTGAATGAAACTGTAAAATAGAAACCATTAATTCTTATTCCTCTTATTAATCTCCTGCTATTAATCTCCTCTTATTAATCTCTCTATATAAGTCCTCTTATTAATCCTCTGCTAACAACGTTGAGGTCGAATCCGAACCCAAACACACGTTGCTGGATATGTTCTGCAACTTCACGTTGTCAGCAGAAGATTAACAATCGATCGTTTGAGGTTAATGAGACGCATGGTCATGCACATTTTGGGCATTGGATTGATGTCTATTTTTACCAACTTTGGTTAACCAGTTGGTTATTCCATCGCATTTCTTATTAGTCAGAATTGATAGATGCGATTAGTCAATTCTGTTGGAATAATCAGCCAATTAAGTTAACTAAAGTTGGTAGAAATGGGCATTAGTGACTTAAATATATTCTGTGATCTCATGGATTTATGTAACCGGCTTAACTATATGTATTATGCTGTTATGAACAATATTTACACAGCTGCATAAGTTGTGCATGACCTCAGTATTAAAAATGCCACAAAAAGAAATTGAAAAAAAGACAAAAGTAGGAAATGAATCTTTACATTTAACATTTAATGATGGCATATGGAGTAAAAAAGACTTTCGTTCTTGTTTGAAATTATTATACTGATCGGAAAGTATACAAACAAAATATTTGATGTTGTGATTAAATCTAGCTTTTGTAAAGCATGTTTACTTCGAAAATATAATGATTCTCAAAAAGACCTATTGTGGATAAAAGAACACAAAGAAAAGTACACCATCAATCATTCAGAAGGCGCTGAAAAAATGGAAGTCGCATTATTGAAATATTGTTAGGATCAAAAGATTAAAGCAGAAAAAGCACACTCTTGCATAAAGGCATAATGTATAAGAAAACTGACCAATCAGAGTCCTTCATTTTCATTGTGGCAATAGAAATGAGAACTGATTAGTTTATTTCTTTATACGTTGTGTATTATTTCTTCATGCAAGAGTGTGTGCTTCCCGCTTTACGTGTTATATGCGAAAATTATATAAACGATGGAGACAGCAAAACTTTCAAAAGTTTACTTAAGGGGGGAAATCCAATTAGAACTTTCAAAAAATCGAATTTTTTTTTTGCATAAAATGTTTATTTAACATTGTAAGAATATGTTCCCAACGTTTTAAATCGAAATTCGCAGCCGTTCGGAAGTTATGGCCTCCGAGCGCAACAAATCTCTTGAGCAGCGTCGAGGCTCTAATAGCACGCAGCAGGTATACTCACCCGGAGCGGGGATTTTACCTTTCAGGGCTGCGATCCAAAACGTATAGAGATGTAATTATAGTTTTACTGTAGGTTTTGGAACGCACCCCTGGTAGATGGCTTTTATTTCTATTGTTACGTTTAGTCGAAACCGTTGGGTCCGTTGGCGCTGGCATCGAGCAGAACCGGTTTTCAGTTTAGCTCCGAAGTTCGGCCTGTACAAAACGACAGTGCAAATTCGAAATGTCC